CACCTTTGCTGTAACTCAGAAAAGTAATCTTCTTCATCTCGCAGCTCGCTAGTATTCAACATCTCATATGCCTTTTTCACAAAGTGGTCAGAAAAAGAGGCCAATGGCAAACTACTGTCTCTTTGGACTAGCTCAGCAAGAGGCAGCTGACGAACCTTTCGGCTGTGAATGCAGCTTTCGCGCAAATCCTGGGATATTTTTGTTCAGAGATATATTCGACGGCAATGTTTTGGCTTCAGCTATGTTTATAGTATCTCACTTGTCGCTCCACTGCTTCTCGCTGCGTTCGGACAAAGGCTTTCCCAATCTCCTTCGCAAATGTTTGAACGCATTGGAGTGCACTTTGCGTAAATGCTGTTTCCTGTCCAAGGGAGTCAGCACACAGAATATACTTTGCTGGCGTGCTGTGTAGTTCAACAGGACCAAGAGAGCTGCTTTCCTTCGCTAGAGCCTCCTCCTCATCGTTCAGATCACCGTCGGTAGAGTCAGCGCTACCTAAATAACCGGAAAAAGAACACGTTTGTGCATTTTTTGGAGGATTTTAAACAAGCGTAACACCCAAGTATTTGCTTCTCAATTTGAGCGCATATGGTAGCGCAAGAAAGACGCTGATTGAAATATACATTTTGAGGCACTTCCACTGCCGCAGGCACACAGAATAAATTTCAGAAAAAGTAACAAGTTGTAAACAAATTCGGGCCGAGCAGTTTGAACTCAACGGACTAGTTGTTCCTGAAGTTTCTTCAATTTGCTCTCCAGAAAAAGATATCTTTTCCTCTTTTTCTCGTTTGCCTTTCAGCCATTTAGACAAAGCCGTGACGGACTCAGCATTTGCCACATCGTTGAACTCTACAGAGACAGCTATATAGCTTCCAGGCCTTGTGAGGCCAAAATAGTAGATTCTGGGATTGTCTAGCACTTCTTCAACAAAAACAGATTTGTGCTTTAACACATTGTCTGCCTCTGCTTCAGGCGTATCTGTCGATGTCCAGCGCTTTTCCTCCTGTTCTTCTGCCAAGGGTCCGCCTTCCTCGTCCTCGCCATCTTCTCTAGAGGGCTTCATTAGCTCTTCTGCATCTTTGTCAGTTTCGTCTTCTTGAAAAAGATCCCATGTAATTCCTTCTTCCTGAAATTTTTTTCATCAGAAGCCGCTAAGGGATGATATAGGTACATGGTGGGCTCTTTAATTGAATGCATGGCAGTGCTACAAAACAGGAAACGGCTGTCGAAGCCCGATTTTGGTATCACAGTTCAGCTTTATATCAGCAGTTGATAAGCTCCGAGTGACAGGCATAACTCGCGCTCACGTGGCAAGATTAGGTGGATATATTTGTTGCTTTTATGAGCTACTATGCTGTGCACAAACGCCGTTATTGTGGGTTTGTGAACGGCTGTACTGCTCTGCTCACATACTTTCTAGTATAAGGCGTGCATGAACTAAAGTAGAGAAGACAATGTGGAAGCATACAGGGCTAGACATTACCTCACGAAGGCACTGGCCAAGCATGTGGGTATGAGATTTATCGGTGGCAATGTATCTCAACACTGGATTTGTACTTCCATCCTTCAAAGCCATCTGCTCCTCGTACTTTGCCATATAAACGCCAGTGGCGCCAACCGATTCCTTTAAACAGTCAAGAAGATTTCCAACTGTTTCTTCGTCCACCCACTCTACAGCTCGAAAAGCCTCAATAGCCTCAGTATCGGATGCACGGAGACCAAGAGTATCTGTTTGAGCTCTCCTCACGTGCCCTTGTACTGTTTGCTCTCCTTGTTGCTTCATCAAATCTGCTCTGGAACTCTTTACGAAGGCCTGCGATAACAGTCTTTCTCTTTGCGCCTGTTAAGAATGATAGCCTGACTTTTAAAAGCGAGGCCTCAATGCAGCTGGTCTGCATATTCGGTGAAATATAGCTTAATCCGTGCTTCATGTTACTGGTCGAGTGCGCCTAGGGGATCTGACCTGTGGCACCCTGCCTTTTAGTTGCTTCTGACGCTCGTCAACAAATCCGAGCAGCCAACGGGAAAGAAATATTGGCGGATCTGATGAGTCCGGACCATAAAAACATACACTAACTTATTCTTTGACATTTAGGTAAATGCAAAATGATTGAGAGTCCAGCAAAAGTGTTTCAGAAAACAGGAAGTGTAGGCGACCTGGGTTTGGTAGCTATCTGGCGCCAGGCCAACGCTAGTGCAGTTCACCTATCAGAATCACACAGTTTATACTGTATTTCCTTGCTCCTACCTTTGGGCTGGGCTTTGATGGTAGCAGCAAGGCCTTCTGCAAGCGCTTTTGCAACATTTCCGTGCAAGTAAATCGCAACTGCTTCCGTTCCCTCACTGCAACATGCTTCCTGTACATTTGATGTGGCGGCTAGTGTGCTTGCCATCGTAGATAAGTATTCACAAAGCGTAACGTTTGCATAAACACTTGTGGCATGCGAGAGGCTTAATACAAAGCTGTGATTCTGTTGGTGCCTCCACAGGCTTGCACGAGACTCACTGAGACCTGCTCAAATCTTTCAAGCGTTTTTTCCAAGTGAATACGAACAGCAAAAATTTTGGAAATACGTTCCGGCGTTTTGTCCCTGCGTGGAAGTTTGTGGCTGTAATACGAACTCAAACACTCTCGGAGCACTCTTGCAGGAACAACACTACAGGCAGCGTTCAGCTCGATGTTTTCGTTTGTTTCTAAAGTGCCGATGTCATTTGTTTCCATAACACGACGGTTTTGCTCACAGAACGTTTACGAATATATTCCTGAGTGGTAGGTGAACTTGAGCAACGAAAAGTCACCTTCAGCCCACCCTAGACAAGAATCGAATATTTTCCACAGGTTTTGGAAGGCAGCATAGTTACTTCGGAGCACGATCTTGCTTGATAGAGCAGGAAGCAATTCCTTAACGTTCCAAAGGGTTTCGCAGCTTGCTCGCGTATAAAAGAGCGTTTTTCGGCCCACAATGTTTCGTTTAGAAGACAAGAACGCGGCCACGATGAACACTGTTCTGGCTTCTTCATCGAATCAACACTTCTAGAAGGTTGCAGCAAGTGGAGATCCGGAGGAAAGCTAAAAGAATGAAAGTGCAGAAAATCCTGGGAAAAGACCAAAATCAAAGAAGTTTTAGCCACTAATTCATTTTGCCACATAGAGTCAAGTATGCATGTAAGGAGCTCATGATTTATGGCAACATGCATGCAGCGCTTTGGCTGCGAACCTCTAATTGTTTTATCTGGGAAATTTCGCCTGAAACTGTTTGCGCTTCACAAAAAGTTGAACAATATATTGTTCTAGCAGAATATTGGACTCTCCTGTTGTTTATGATTTGCTGCCTAAAACGGTGCCACTGGTTAGTCGAGGTGGCTGCACGTAATAATTTCAGCACTTTTTACATTGCCGCCAACTGTGTCTCAGATACTAAAGAGCAGAGGATTTTTCGGACAAATTTTGTCTTCCTTCCTTTTCAGGGTGCAAGTGGACAGAAGCCCTCTGCTTATTCCCCAAAGCCTGGAACATAGTTGCATGTGGTTAACTCTGTTTAGTGCTTTTCAGGCATATATCACACCTATGGGCATTGTGGTCACTTGGAAATTTTGGCAATATAATTCTGAGAGCAGTCGTCTGTAAAAAAATTGTTCTTGCCTCTACAAGGGAGGCTTTGTGCAGGCAGCCCGCTCACCATAACACTGGATACTCCAGCAGTGGGTTTACTTGGCTCTTTCGCGGCTGGACAGCTTTTGAATCGCAAAGAGGCCAAAACGTGTGTTGCTCTCTTGCCGTTCTCAGTGCAGTAGCGCCCTAGTTCCCATTTCCAAAGGCCGGCTGCCAGTCGTCCATCTTTCTTTCCAAATTTAGTACCTCGTCTTTAAGCTATTAGACCTCGATTGTACTTTGTCGTTCATGAATACCATGCAGTTGACGAATGCCGATGCTCATTATATGCTAACATATACTGAGTAGGAAAATTTAGCAGAACTATGATACATTTACATACGTGCTCTGTGGGCACATGTTGGAAAACGTGCTGCAGCCGTCCCTACAAGTGTCAGAGAAATTCTCGAAAGTAATATTAGGTTAACCCATGCTAATACTGCAGCAAGCCCTTGGGATCTAAATTAGCAGGAAAAGTGTTCTACTTAGTTAGATGGATTAATGTGTTGGAAGCAAGCTCTGGAAGCAACAGCGTAGATTGAACATAGATATCACAATTTGTCTGTTTTAATGCGTCAAATAATGTGTGAAATACTTTTACTGGTGCTGTGCTGGCGGGCCGGCAATGCCACCTTTTATGCATTCAACGTAGTTCTTGCACGTGTGCCTGTTTAAAATGCAGGCACTTCAATGTTATTAATTAACTTAACAGAATGCCCTCATTGAAGAATTTGAGATTTTTACAGTGTATCTCTTCGATGAGTAGCGCCAGCGTTCTCTATGTTCAAGCTTCTGATTTTAGCAGCTCCTTAACGGCAACATGCTAGGATGTATTTTCGAATTATGTTACCTGCAAGTTTACAAAGAAAAAAGATCGGATAGGAAGTGCTCGCGAAGATGCAGCCATCTGGGCATGCGTGGCGGCAAAGGCTTTTTTTGCTTCACTCTTTAACTTTGAAGAAGGTCATTGTGCTTCATAATTATCAACGTGTTTGTCAAAATCATGGCGCCCATTTGCAACTACAGCTTTGCTTTCGCCTTTTTCAAGTTTCTGAATAGCCGCGCCTAGAAGACTGGCGCCTCAGAAGAGAGACATCGACTTCAATTTAGTGCCGGCAATTGAGCATTGAGTGGTAGATCATGATGCGTCGTACTGCTATCACAATGTTTTGAATCGCGCACACAGTTTTGTATTTGTGCATCGGTAATTCCACTAAATTTCTGCTTGTTTTCTATCTGAAGGCCAAGCAATGCTGGAATGCTATGATTCCGAAGATTTTCAAAGTAGCTCTCGAGTGAAGATTCTGCATTGACGTTGTACGGAGCCTGAACACCGCATCATATGCCTTTAAGCTATTTGGGAGCCATGTTGCTGTGCTCTCTGCCGAGAGCGGGGAAACTCTAGAGATGTTCTGCGCTCGCCCACCTCAATGCCAATCTGCACAAGCTTTTTGTTAATACTGGCTGCGTAGCGCCTGGCCTGGTCCACAGTACTGAGGAAGTTTTTCAGGACGTTATTCCTGTACGTGCAATTCCCCATATTGCATTTTTCCAATGAAACATTGAATTGCAGGAACCCTTTTCTGCACGCTTCAGGGATGGGAATCTGGGCTTGAAGAGGTACAAGGGCTAGTCGGCTTACCTTGTTGCGTGAGTGTGTAATGTTGCACTCCAGGACTGCGCCTGTGCATCAAGTGCCTGGCACAATAGCATCAGTACAAACTTTGTGTCATGAGAAATTCGCCTTTTAATCCAGATGTTGGATAGGTGTGAATTTTCATTTTTTAGCTGTGTCTTCAGAGTTGGATTCACTACTAGGATTGCAAACCAACGAGCAAAACAGTTTTGGGGACGAAACCGTTGAGTTCCTTGGGCTGCTGCCTTACTGCATACAGATTTCGTATATGAGCGCAGTTTCCCAGCGCGAGCTCTTCAACTGCGCATCGGACGACCTCTTGATATTCCCTTCTGCAAGACTGAATTCGATCAAACAAATTTGCGCTTGCCAACTAAATTTTTGCCCTTTTCTTGTGTTTTGTGCCCATTATGTTGGTGATCCTTTGTCATACTAAGACTTGCCACACTGTTGCATTACAGCCCAGGTTTTGGTCTAAAGTACAGCCTTGTTACGTGTTTGACATTTTCAGTAGTTGTTCTTTAAAGCAAGCTACCTCAAGTCTTTCTTCCGTTTCTTCCGCTATGAGCTTCAGCTTTTGGTTCTCCGCTTCTCCGTTGAGAAACTTATTTACAATTTCCATAACATCAAGCATTCCCTGAGTAGCCTCAACATACATGCCTTTTCATGGCAGCAACGACTAAGTTGCAGCATAGGCATGATAAGACGCCGTTGCGATGTTTCCAATCCTAGGCAATCCAAACTTTTCTTTCCACGCTCTTCACTCCAAAAGCCTCACTGTTGCCTCGCGGATCTTTTGGAACGTGTCTTCTTTGTATTGCCATTTCTCCACGTTCTCAACATTGGTCTTCTGTAAATAGTTTGCAATCAGCTTCTCGACACACAGCATTCTTCTCCACCTTCCGGAAGATGCGGAAAGCGCTGCAGCAGCAGCATCATTCACGACTGCTTGCTGCCACTCAACAAGCTGCTGCCTGCACAAAATTCCAAGTTTGTGTGAACACACTCTCGTAGTGTCTGCGCTCAGCAGTCAGCAAAACCAGTGTTCGCTTGGTGTACTCGCTTCACGCGAATCCCTGGAAACAAAGCGTTTAATTTTATTCTGGAAGCAACACATTACGCGGAGATGATACCTTTATCATTTTGGGGCCTAACTGATTAGAACGGATCATTTGAGAGAATCATGCATTGTGGAAGGACTGGTATGTCAGATACTCTATTACATTTTCGTCGACACACAAACAAAGCGCATCTACATATTTCCCCGTATCACGACTTAAGTAGTGAATTCCTCATCAGCACTAAAATTAATAACAGGAGTGTGACTGGAAGGGAAGTTTTCCCATATAGGGCCTTTCGTGCGGTATGCAAGTACCATTCGATATTCACGCACTTGGAGCGCCTTTACCTTTTCTCTACTGCAGCCCTTCTCATGTCACTTGCTTCGCATATTTCCCTGAGCCCATTGTTACAGATGATCCTTTCTCCTTCCAATTCCTAACACCAGGCACGTATCCACATGGGCTCCCTCTCTGGACCGGGGAAACCATGCCAGCAACATCGTATATCTTTATATTATAAAGTATTACGTTTGATACTGACCCGTTCTAACTGCCTTATCTCCGAAAGTGCTGAACCTGTTTTCTTCCTTTGCTTCCTGGAAAAAGTTAAAAGCGGTTTGTGCACATCTATTCTTGAAGTCAGATGAGCATCACGCAGCATGTTAACTTTACATGTTATTGCTGGCTGCCGGAAACGTAATCATTTGCTAATATAACCATCCAGAATGCCCACCGGCTCACTCTAGGGCACGGTGTTCTTCCTTCAGTTGGAGACCTAAGCATTTGAGCCTGCTCTGTAGCATTAAGTTTTTTTTTCTAACCGCATCCTTCTCAAGCTCAGATATCGCAGGACAGAGACAGAAAGAAGTAACAGTGACCAAGTTCAATAAGTGACAACTACCGGAGGAAAAAAGGAAATATTTGATTTAAAATAGCGGATGGGTGAAAGAATTACTGAAAAGTTGGGCGGTACCTTCGTTCTTTGAAGGATATGCATGTAAACCTTCTTGGTATGAGCAGCCTCGGAAACCTTTTTACTTAACTGCGCAAGCGATTTCTTCATTTCAGCTGCACGCTGAAAAGACAAGCCAGTATCTCGTTGAATTGCTTCTCCAAAGGGCAAGCTTCAGGCCAATAGCACTTCTTCTACATAAAGCTTACTCCTAGGTTAGCTTTGGCTGACCTCATGTATGCGAGCTTTTTCCGTAGAAACTTGATGCTCCGCAGAATCAGCCTGGCGAATACCCTCCTAAACAGGGGCACTCAGAGCAACGATGACCTTTAGAAAAAGTAGCAGTCTTGCGGTGCGGAGAGAAAATTTTTTTATTGAGGTGATTCACGTTTGCCGGGTGTTTTTGTTTTATCGAATGTAGCTCTACACCTTACCTTGTATCGTGTAACCTCTTCGCTCATCCTTCTAACCTCTGAATGCACGTCGTCAAAGCGTTTTCGTAAACTTGCCAAAAGGTCTTCCACTTTCTCCACAGGGTCTGATTGCTCTGCCTGTACACAGTGCATTTGAGGGGCTCACGGCCAACGACTGCATACTTCTGCGTTTCCTGTTTGGAAGATCTAGGGAATGCATGAGTCAATGAGAAAATAGTTCAGAGGACTTCAATATTTGTTTTACTGGTTTAATGTTTTCCGGGAGGAGGTTCAACTGATGGGCAAACATTAACGAACAGTGGCTACGTACGCGAAAGCTCTGGACAGTCTGCTTTACTGTTCTCATGAAAGAATTTAGCTGTTGTGGGCCTGTTGCATTGGTCTTGTTGAGTGCGTGAGACTTTTTTTGGTGTCCTGTGTCCTGCGCTGCAGTGATACTTGGTGTACTGGTCTCCACATTTTCTAGAAAAAGCGGAGCTCCCAGCAGTTCACCGTTTGTCTGAGATAAAGTACAGTCAAATCTGAAGCCTACTACTCATGCTTTCTGTCGGTTCCCAGTGAGTAAGCAGACCCTTTGGGTGACTGCAACAGAGTTCTGGGTGACTTCGCAAGAGCCTGGAAAGAAATATGTCAATTTCAGCACTGCTTGTATTACTCTGAGAGAGATCAAACTTTATGGAGAAAAGGTAACATCTCTTTTGAATTGCTCGTTGCTGGATAGCACAGACGTGAGGGTTCCTGGTTGTTAGCTTGCCTTGCCCTTTTCTACATTTTTCGTATCCTGGGCCAGATTCCCGGTAGAGGTACTCATTTTGTGCAATAATGCGGACCACAATATATTTATGTTGGGCAGTGTCACGGCGTTGCATCGACCATCCATGACATTGCTACGAGCATGTGCAAGTTCTTCAGCACGGCACTGCCCAGGCGGATTACCATGCTTAGCTGTGCGCACAGTAGCTATGTCAGTGACTTCAGTACTCAAAGTTCTAGACCTAGGTGATTATTTAAAAGGACAAGGAATGGTTCGCGAAAATTTTTCCAGGGACGGTGCGCTGATGGCTGCTAACTTTCTGCAGCTATCAGCTTGCATCGAACAACTTCACGCCAAGTAGAACGAAGCTCCTTTACAGTGACGAAAAATTAGATATCTCACACGTTTATAATAATGTTCGATGCTTTGCAGTTGCACTGTATTTGCTTACGAGTCGCCCCCCCTACTGTGAAGAGTGACTTCAAGCCCCGCTGGCAGAAGTCACGAATATCGAAGCAAATGATAATCGCTGTTTCCTGCAACGGTTGCTGTCCTATCAATTAGCCTTATCATTGGTCAAAACAAAAATCTGGCAGCACCAGCTGCGACCACAACCAGAAGACATTTAATCATTTTGGTCTTCGCCTTGGTGCCAGGCTTCAGTAAGAATGCTTCAACATATAAATCTCCGGTTATGCCTTGCCCGTGAGTAGAAACACTGTAGGTGTCCACTGTTGCACTGAAAAATTCTGCGATTGGCGTCACAGACAACTGTAGGACGTTTAGTCGAGAGGGCAAAGTATTCCTGCCGAGTCCGTCGGAACCGCAGGGCACAGGGTATTCCACGAAAGCTCGAGAAACGTGTTTCTGTCTACGAAGATTGTAGCTATAATGTGACAGTATGAGACGCGCGTTTGCTGCAAAGTAATTAACTGTGGTGAGAGACCAAAGCCTCCAACAGAGGATGAAATGAGAACACAGTGTCTTCCACGCGTGTCGCTGTGTGATAGTACCTAGTTTTACTCAAACTTAACGGTTAGCACAGAGTAGAAACACTGCCTTTGCCTCAGCCAGGCAGAAAGCCAGCCCATGCTCACAAATGCACGCTGTTGTAAAAAAGGACAAGTATCTTTAAAGAGACGTGCAGTATTTAAAAAAAGGAAGAATACTTGCGCCCTTTAGTAAGGATGCACAAACACAATGCACGCGTCTGAATTTGCACCCTTCACGATCAGCAGCACCGGAAATTTTGGTGAACAGAAAGATATGAACAAGATCAAACCCTTATGCTTCTTCATCTAAAAGTCCATTAGCTTTTCATTTCAGTGGCTTCACGAAGCTTATACTCCAAACCTTCCTAACAGCTTCTAGCAAATGCATCTCTGAGCCGTATGGACTTCCCAGGATTCTCGGTCGATCAGTAGCAAGTTTGGGGCCCACAGATTGTTTTCAGCTAGCAAAGTTTCCGCTACGTGCGTAAGGTACTTTAATGCTAATTAATCAAGATTTGGCTCTCTTGGGACAGCCTCCGGAATCTTTAGAGTGTAACCACAGTGGATTCAACACTTGTAGTTGCCGCATTTCCTGCATGCTTTGTGACTCAAGAGCGGCAAAGAAATGTCTGCCCTCAGTAGAACTTGCAGATCCATAAAATGATTTGCGTGACTTCCAGGCGCCTCGTCTGGGAGAGGCTTGTTGAAGTATTTATAGTCCATAAGTAAAAACTTGAGGCTATATTTTTACTGCAAATCTTCAACGCCCAATGCACTAGCGGCGTAACTAACGAGTCCAAGCTTACAGCTTTATGATCACTAATCACATCTTTCGCAGTGAAATTCGAAATAAAGACACTCAGAAAAAGGCGTCTTTTCACTGCAAGCCAACACAAGGCGAGGCGCCCACACGAATCCTTGGAAACGCAAAGTTGCAAAAGGAGGTGCTATCAGCAGGAATACATGCAAAGCACAGCTTAGTTTAAGATTGCATGAAATATATCCACTGAAGGAGAATTTCTTGTATTCTGCTCTTTGATTCATGAAGAATCAGTCCTTCGCTACTTCATACGTCTCCTGAGCTAGCCAACCCATCTGCGGCTACGAAAATTCTTCTAAACATCAGCAGCCAAAGGTCTGGTGCATCGGGGATCACTGACAGAATTACAAAGCTTCCAGCAGACTGTAACAGCTAGAACAAAATAAAAACGAAACACAGGCAAAAACGCCCGAAGCTTACGATGCCGTTAATTGCTCTCACCGGTAAGCCTTGTGCGTGTAATCCTGGATACATCTAGCGATCACAAGGCTCATAAATGGCTACGCTAGCTGCCATTTGCACTCACAAGTGTTCTATTGTCCTGCAAGCATTGACAGATAAAGAGCAGTAGAGGAAGTGCGAACGGAGATGCAATGACTAAAGTATCTGCAACACACAGAAAGCCATGGCGCTCTTCCGTTGCAGCATGAAGTACACAAATGAATTCAATGTGAGTTTTTAATGAAACATACCAGCTCAAAGCGAAGCCGCTCCTTTAAATGTTAATGCGTAGCTGTCTAACGTGTTGTCAGAAGACAGGACAGTGGAGTTAGCAGCGAACAAATAAAACAAAGAAGTTCTCACAAAGCATAATGCTTGATCGAAGAGTGCAGCACTCAGAAAAAAGAGCCAAGAATAACACTTGAATAAAAAAGTACAAGAATGGGAGACGCAGAGATGCAAATAGGGAAGGCAAGAGAGGAAAAATTCCAAGTTCGAGCTTGTGGCTCGCTTTTGTGGGCAGGACTCTATTGCTGCCCATACACGGCCTTCAGAGTCAAATGCTTCAGAATGTGTAGATTTACGTACTCAACGAAAGTCAGAAACTCGCAAAAGGAGTTACGCTTCCGGCTGTAAGGCGTGGGGGGTTGTGGCTGGCAACGGGCACTAAAATGCTGCGCGTACCACATCGGGATGATGAGGGAGAAACACTGAAGGAAGACTGATGCGGTCCTCAAAGCCATGGCTTGCAATAATGATTTTGGGCTGTTTTAATGGTAAATAGTATTTTTAATTAATTAGTGAGTGGTACGTATGAGCCTTTGGAGGCCGAAGCGAAGAGAAAACTATGAGCCCAGCTGAGCTGAACTGACAACGTTAGCTGTAAAAAACATTCATCCGAAATCAAAGGCACAGTACAAAGCCTCCGAACTTCAGATTTCTGTTGATGGCATTTAGGAATATAGGCTAATCACTGCAGTATAGCCAAAGCCCGATATCTCTCAGCGAAGCACATCTGTTACTCCTAACTGTGCAGCACAAGCTGATTGGACTACGAAGGCACAAGCTCGCAGAATGATTTTGTATACTAAACTACTAGATGTGGAAAAACTGCGATTCAAATCTGCGTGGTAAATTTTTTCTTTGACTGGATAGAAGTGAGTGCCCAGCACTAAAAGCACTAAAAGTTGTGTATTAGAGACTGGTCCTGCATGCAAACGGGGCCTACTTTTGGCATGCCTCCGCAAATTGCTTCCCTGCTCGGTCTTCCTGAAAGCCACGTAAAAGACAAGCTTTATGCATCACTTAAGTTGGCAGATGAAAAGCATCTCTTATGAGAAAAAATATGTTACTGCTTCTTCATATAAAGGTTTGTGTGCGTCCTTCATTTAACGTGAAACATCGGCGGTAGGCTTATGGCTATCCTCCAACGTAATTTGTCTTGACGCTGACCTTCTGAGGAGTTTCTTAGCTATTTCAAAGGCCTTTGCAAGCTATGAACAGCTGTTTGTGTCCGCTTTCAATTCAAAAACAGGCCGGTTCAATAGACAATTATTTAGAGCGATTAATCGTGAACTACATTTTACTTCACTCAGATTTTCTCGTTGCCATGAGTGAAATGTGCTCGCATTTTTGGCAGCCATGGTGGAATGCGGTTTGCTTACCAGGTGAAGTCAGTGGCATTGCAATGGAAGCGAATGCGACCACCAAAAGTCTATCTTATAGCCTACAACTGATCAACAAACAGGGCCAAAACAAACCCTGAGTGACTCACTTTGGCTGCAAGCAAACCAAGTCTGCAGGGATAAGCTGCTCTTGAACATGGACCTTAAGTGAAAACCAAGAAGTTGAAGACATATGCAGCGGCTTCTTGGGGTTCATTGATACTTTGCAAGTCTCACAAGATACATCTGTTGTACAGAACTCCAGGCTGTCACGCTAGTTGCTAGCAGCCACTAGATGATGGAATGCAACAGCGAAGCTGCAGACCCCGCTAATTGCGGCATAAACTACATCCACTCATTGATCTCTTCTTGGAGTTCCGAGTGAGTTGGTGCTTGTCGATTGATTATGAAATGTGCGGAGTTCTCTTGATGAGAAAATCGCCTCATTTATGCAAAGGAAGGACAAGCATGGGCCTCAATAATCTCATTTCATAGTAACGGGACACTAGTTGCATCCTGATGAAAATAATAGGTGCAGGAACAAGCATGTATATTATCGCTTGCCAGCAATTTCACACGTACCGCATGCAGTGCCCAGTGAGAAGTAATGATGCAGAGCACTCACTCCGAAGCATGAAATCAAAAGCTTGCGGGGGACGCAAAGGTTAAGTGAAAGGGCGCGTTCAACAATTGCCTGTTTGAGTGATGCAATCAAGCCTCCTTTTGATCGACATTGCAAAAGGTGTTTTAACCTGCACTGTTGCAGTTATCTTCACCGGACTGAGTACCGTGGAGTAGATTCCCCTACAGGCTATCATCTGTAAGAGATAAAACCACTTACTGTTGCAGGACTCCAAATACCTGGGGGCATTTCTTTTGTTCTAGCATGCGCGCCAAGTTTTCTTTACTTATCACTGCGTACCCTCTCTACTTTTAATCGAAGTCATCTTTTAGCTTTTATATTTTGGCAGCGGGTGCACGATGTAACATGTGCTCCGCCTATTTTGGAGGTAAAAACCCAATCGCTGTACTTTTAACATGACTCCACATCGCGTAGAGTTTCAGCGTGCGGAACGCAACTGCTGCCTTTTCTTTATCTAATCAGAATGCTAACTCAGCATGCTGCCATTAGCTTGTTCTCATGCTTACACGCAGCTGTACTATCACCATCGTATGTGTGACTCAGATTTGATGTGACATTCTGCAAACTCACAGCTGAGAAGCCCGTTGCAGATGTCGAAGCCACTGTTCACTTCATGCTCTCACCCAAACTGGTCAGTGGCTTGGAAGCAAACAAGCAGCAGCGCGAGCAACGCGGTTGCAGCGAAGTCGAGAGAGACTCGTATGATCAATTAGAGGGACAGCAGGAATACACCAGCGCCGTAAGGAATCCTACCAAGAAAAGATGGAGGGCAAACAAAGCCGCAGTTCGCTTTCTGAAACTCCCTTTGGCAGATGCCCTGAAAAAAAGTGAATGTGCTTGCCTGATGAGCAGACAACTAGTGCTAGGGCAAAGGAAGATGTGTACTTCAGATTTGAAGGCGAGCATCTGATCCATACACCAAGCAGGACAATTCTTGCGTCAAAGTTCGAATTTTGGCTTGACAGGTACAACGCACACATGGAAACTAAGCACACGCGTGTGGACTACTACGTAAAGTTAAGATGAGGCTTAGTCATTACCTTTTCGGCCTTTGTGTTTAGGATTCTTGAAAACAAACGACAAGTAAAACGCGCATTGTTTCTCGAGACTCCGTAAGGCGGCACGTGACCAGCCCTGTGGGACAAAGGCGTAGCACCCCTGTTAAAAGAACGGTGTTCTCACGAGACTAACAGGCTGACGAATGTGTGAAGCTTTGAGCAGACACGTATGAATGCGCAACTCCAGCATGTTGAGATGCTGCTTTCCGAGCAAAAGGCCGTCCTGATGCAAAATGAGAAAAAACACCAAAAAAGAATCCTGCAACGCAAAAAAATTGCAAACTGGGAAAATTCTGAAAATGCTGCCATGCAGCTTGGAGAACCTCTAGATTTTCAGGGTCTAATCAACCCCAGCATAAGCTTTGAAAGACAACTGACAGATTCGACGCTCAAGCGACTCCTCGAGAAAGTCTTCGATGCTGCTGATGAAGACAACACAGGCAAACTCAGAGAAGCAATGTGGCATTAGAAAGTTTGCAAAAGATATGCATTTTGCCCTTGAAAAGAATCAGAAATCAAAATATTTGGTTCCAGGTTAATTGCGGATGATGCAGGCCGGCTTCAGCATCGAGAGGTTTCTGCGTTGTTGTTCGCATGTCCCCTCGGGCTTACCAGGTGGGAATTCGTTCAATTGCTTGCCGGTGCGCAAGAACATTCTGGGGGATGGATTGAATACAGGCCCTATGTAGAGGTAAGCTAGGAGAAATTTTCTACGGAAATTCAAGTTGCAACGTACATGAGTTGAGACAATTGCCTAGTGCGACAAACGAATAATATTGTCGGTACTCAAGGTACAGGCATGGCTCATATTCGTATCTGAGAAATAAAAGATACAAGTTTTTCCGCATTCTTTGACTTTCTGACTCCCAGAAAATTCCCAGGCTTCTTGAAGTGCTGAGGGGCAGGCGGGAAAAAGCTTGTCAACGGTGAGGTCTCCAAGCTTTTGAGCTGAGTGTATGGAAGGCATATATGTGGGGACGAAGACAGACGCCAGCAAAGACGGTGCTTTAAAAGTTACAACGAGGAGTTTCTGAGTTTCTGTGGTTTTATCGTAGCCGCGTAACCAGAACAGCAACAACAGACGCAGTGTTGCTTCTTTTTCGCGAAGAGCTAGATGAGACATTTCGGTGGGCGGTTGGACAGTGTAGTTATGAGGGCTTGGATGCTTGCTGCAGTTGCACGATTGAATCATTGTGCGTGCTTCAATGGCTCACGGAATGTATAGTCACAGCCGAGCTATTAAAAACAGACGCAGTGTAGCATCTCTCCTGTGAACAACAAGCTAATACATTTAGGTGGATGGCTTGCCAGCTTGTTTGCCACGGCTTCCTAATCAACGGGCACAATATTTAACTATGCATTTTGAAAGCGATGTTCACGGTGTGCAGAGTCACGCGCGACTTGCTTGATGGTCTCGGAAATACTGCGCTCACATCAGGTGCAAAAGTGACGCGTCTTGTTCTGACAGTAGATCCACCGCTGCCCCTGAATTTCCCGAGACAAATTCGCTTATCACGGAAGGAATAATTTTCTGGAATGCTTTTCTTCCAGGCTTGGTGAAACGCCAAGAGCTGCAGACAGCCATGCAGCGTACTGACAGGTGTGCACTTTTTTTTGAGACACAGGTGAACTCACTTCAGTGGGTCTTTCAGCAATCTTCGGAACAAATAGCGCCTGGAGCGCCAGCGTAGCACACGTATCATACGGTGTGCCTGTAGCATTTGCTTCTTTTAGGTATTCTAGGCAAGATATGGCTTTCATCATGCAAACTGTCCCAGGTAATGACCGCGGAGACGTCTATTACGAGGCATTACCAACACTCCTCCAAGTACTTAGGTAGGTCAAAACATCCTACAGAAATGAACCAGCGTCAAAGGAGAAAATGTGCTGGATTAAGAGTCTCCACTTCGCCAGTTATCTTTTTGTGCTGCGATCTAGGAGGGAGAGTATCAACAACTCTGTGCTCGAAGTTGACAAGGAAGCGATAAGAGAGGAGCTCAGCAGGACAGTCATAGAAGTGTACGTAACTCGAATTTGCAGCCTCGAGATATTTTTGCTGACTTTGTCGTTATGGTTCTGAGCTGATGCTGCCTACCGTTACGTATGCTTACCTACTGATAACGCCGTGAAAGCTGAAGGTTGTACAGGCTGTGCGTCCCAGGCCAACATGATGGCGTGATCGAGCAGTACCTTCGGCTTTCGAAATTTGCGCTGCTTTCAGAAATGTCCTCACGTGCTTTCTCCTTGCTGAAGAACGCTTTGCGCCCTATATTGAACCTCTATTTATAGATTAGGCAATAAGGATGAAGCATGGCATGCAACCTAGCTGGATGACAAGACGGCTTAAAGGACAAGTTGTGTCGAAATATGTTGAGTGCATTGCAGATGGACATGACGCCTGCGGGGCAGCTCCCGTTGTGGAAATTAAGAGAAGTGCTTGATAACAGTGAACTCTTTCTGTCTAAGATGCATATCCATGTGCGTATCTTCCACCTTTCCTTCCATAGGCAGCACCTACACGTATTGGCTTCTGATTTCCCTATTGTGCAAGCGAAGAGCCCGAAAGTGTCTCAAGCAGCTTCACCTGGGATTTCTTAGCTCCGAAATATGTCACAGGTTCTCTTGTGCTTGGTTCCAATGAATCGCCAAGGGCTAGCAGACTGGGATGAGTTCGTGGCAGTGAGGAACACCGTTTGAATTCGATCGACTAACCAATCGGAAGAATCAGCCAGAGAGTTTGTTTACGTGCTCGGTTTTAGTGGCATCAAGCCAGAGCCTCTCCATACGTTCGCAGTTGTGCATCATGGCAGTTGCTGAAGGGCAACTACTGGGCTGCATAAAACGCCTTTTCAAAATGTTGTGCGTCTACACAGGTTGTTCAGCGCTATCTCCCTCCGCTGTTTGATAGCGATGCACTAATGGAAACAGGCAAGTTTTGGCGTTGCATTTTATGAAATTTTGCACTAAAATTGCCGGCAGTACCTTTGGCAGTAAAATAAGAAGATGGTTCCTTTTAAATGGCATATATTCATCCATATGAACTCGAGAACTTATGCAAATTCTGTAGCCGATCAGATAAGCAAGATGGTGGCTGATGCCGAGGCGCAAGCGGAATTTGAAGAACTCAGAGGTCTTTCCGCTACCACACCACGGCACAAGCAGCGTTCAAGCATTGCAGCGCGACGACGCAGCAAATTACGACCACCTCCTCATGCTCAGTTGCAGAACCAAGCTGACGAAGGCGATCAGGTGAAACGGTGCTTTCATCCGTGGGCTGCCAAAATAGGTGTAACACTTAAACCATGTGAATTGTAGATGCACGGTCTGCGCAGTGTCTGAGTTAGGGAGAAGCTCCGGATCGCGAGAGCGTAGAAAAGACACTTGTACACCTTTTTACTGTGCTGGACGACCGCCGAAAGGGTAGGGCTTCTTTGAAGCAAAACAATTCAACGTGACGCAATTCGTAGCGTTGCCTCATTCTGGCTTCAAGGAGTCTTGCTTTTTCAGCTTGAGGATATGTGCTTTCATCACAGGGTCAGTGCCAGCTCAGGTTTTTGTTGGCGTAATGCATTACTGGTCAGCGCGCAGTGTCACTGGCGCCACATTGCTAGATAATGGCGGTTTTTCGCCTCCAGCTCCTGCCACTTCCTCAAGTGGGGGTGCTGCACTGGCAGCAGAGCGGCGGTACGCTGACATAGTGATGAGCTGCAGATTATCGCCTCCTGAAGTTACAGGATTCGTTGCAGAAGCAAAAGTTGACCCACTTGTTCAGGAGATCAGTTATACTGAGCACATCAAAGCATGGGTGGCTACTATATTTGAAATAAGGTCAGAATGCTTATAATTCGACCGTCCTCCTCTGTGGCGCAGGATGCACTCAGTGCTTTTGCCACTTTCTGTCCCTTGGGATTTTATTATTTGTGCCTCGAAAGTTGCATATCCCAGGCGAATTACTGTATCTTTAGGCAATACAAAAGTACACAACAAAAGTGAATGAGGAATTTGAATATGCCTACGATGCTTGCAGGCGATCGCAGTTTTGGTACAGCTACAGTCACAGCACCTATGATGCAAGCAAAGCCAAGGCTTGAAGAACAAGGATAAAAATTGGTATATTACTTTCTCTAGCTTATTTCCGAATGGCTTTAGTTGCATGTTGTAGTGCACAGGACAACAATGCAGCCTAGAATTAGCCCCCAGGGGCATGCAATTTACAATATGCATATTGATGCTGTAAGGAGGAGTAGCATTAATGTAAAGGAGCTTAGCTACGTGGTGACTAGCCCCAGTGTGCTACGCTGTTAGGCGCGGAGCCTGGGGCTGACAAGATATGCTGACGTTGCAGTAAGGAGCATATCCACGCACAGCGAGAAATATCCGGAAGACGAAAAATTTGTACCTTTGGAACACGTACCTAGACCGCTTAAAGCTCTTTAATATATAAATTGGGTCTTGAATGAGTAGTATTGGGCACGCGGCTAACAAGAGCAGGAGAGCCACGTAGGAGGCGATCTGGACCTGGTTCATCATAATTTGGAAGCAGTTCGGGGAATAACTACGCTACAACCCATAAGCACTGTAAGCGTGCTAATTCCACCTCTCTAAGCAGGGGAACCTTGAGAACTTTGGGCCAGAAAGTTGAATGCAATCGACGCCTCTCCCAGCTTGAAGCAGCAGCTCCTCCAGAAAGAGTAAAGGGAATCCATATCCACGAGGGTTGCAGCTGTGCCCAGAGCGAAAATTAGAAAATAAAAGCAGATGTCACTTGAAGCTGCCTACCAGGAATACTGTCAGCACGCAAGCTAAGGGAGAAAGAGAAGCAGGCGAACAACATGAAGCTCCTAATAGTGATGAACTGAGGGCCTCACCACAGTGCCGACAGCAGACAGTGACGACAGCAGACGAGGGCTAGGGGTTACTTTGCAGTCAGAGGAAGACAGCAGTGCTTGATGTCGGGGCACTTCAACATGAGTTTGAAGTGCTTTGGGAGCAGGGTGCGTTGTGCAGCATTAGGCTGATCAGAATTGAGCCGCTGGAACTGCGGAGACACTGCATGCATTCGTCTGATTGCTTTGCCGTTACCAAAGAAGAGCATCTATGCCCAGTCATAATCTGAGGATTATAAATGGCCCTGAGAGAGAGCTAGGGCAACAATGTTGTTGGCGCTAGGGCTACTGGGAAAGCAACAGGCGCAACGACCCAAAGATGGGACAAAGCACAAGTCCCAGCAACGCTAAACTAAGGTCTAAAAATAGGAAACTAGGATGATTATGACTGTCTTCCCCAACACAAGCCAGAGGTTAGGACACCCAAAGCAACATGCAAATGGTGAGGTGCATGGAAACGGGACTCAAGAGGCTGGCCAGGCAGAGCTCCTGTAGAGGAAAATCGCGTAGAAGGAAAGGGCCTACACCTGGGGCTTCATGAAATTACTCGTTGGATATTAAGTATGGCCGAGAGGAATTAATGCACATACGTTAAATTCACAGTGCAGCTTTTGGCGAGCCACTTGCGCCCATACAGTTTCGGACTCTTTTGGGGCTGTACCTAATTTAAATGGCTGTACGCGGATTCCCAAGGTAGGTGCTGGTTACCGGGAGTCAAGGCAGCAGCTAGAATTTCCTGGTGTCTATAGCTCCTGTATAATGCGAATTTGTATCGATTTACCAGATGCTGTGTAATCGAAGGGGCCTCTTCACCACGTACGAGTCGGTAACATCCGATAGGTTGCGACACAAACACCTACTAAGCGTGCAGGCTGTTTGACCACATGCTCTGAAAGGGTATAGTGTAGTGAACAGCGCTCTCTGCTGCTACTACGTAGCTTTCTTACTCAGGACCTAGGAGCACCTTTAACGAATTCTCAGCTTTTGGCACATATCTTATGGAACAGCATCAAGTCCTCAATAATCAGTCATCCCTCAGTCTGTCAAATGAATCGTCTTAAAACTCCAAGAATCACAATTCTGACTCTTGCCCTGGTTGGGTCAGTGCTTCGTCCCAGTGCCCGAGTCACCGCCAGCCCCAACCTTAGGATATTAAAAAACGCTCCTAATTTACACATGCTATCTCGCGTATAAATTGCCTCGGTTTACTAGTACAAATGAGTTATCTGTGTTCTTTCGGCGTGCCAACATCTAGAAGTCACCAGCAAGCTCAATTGTAGTGCCTGCGCACTACACATAGCATCACTGTGTTGGGAGAGAGAAACATTTTATTTGCCAGTTCCTGAATAAACATCAGGCTTATAAAGTTTGCTCAAATGCGTTTTAACAAAAATCTGAGGAAATAGTGTGCATACGCGTAATCTAGTGGTTCGCAATGACCCATTTCGCTACGTATGCTCTTTTCATTTTTCGAGCAATAATTGCAAAAGTTTAGTTATTGCATGGGAGGCTGGCCTCAGTCAAAAGTCTACTTGCAGAATTCAACCTCACGCGGTTAAGATAAACAAAGAACCGGCACAACCAGCTATTAAGAAAGCCTAATGCATCAAAGTGACAAACGGCTACTATCTCGAAACGATTTGTTTTAAAAGAGCACGCCCCAATTTAAGCGACAAGCGGTTGCCTACATATAGTAAACGAGGAGTTTGAGCGTGCGCCGCCTGGGAGGAACAAAAATATCACTATCACATGCTCACTTCGATGAGTGCTGACCACAAAAAAATAAGTATTCACAGATCAGCTACTTAGTAGGCTGCGTCGGCTCGTTTTGTTGCGAGCTCCCGTTTTTCCAGGCCGTGGGGGCTGTGGCATTCTGGCCGATTTTGCTGCGGAGCCTGAATTCCCTTGGTGCATTTGCTCCTCGAGCAAAGAAGCCTCCCGTAAATACTTATGGACAGAAAGAGTGAGCAATATCAGTTCCTCATCTTTGTGAAGCCCATGGTGGAATGGTTGAAAGTGTCACTGGGTTCACGGCAGGCATGACGGAGCTAAGAATCATGCGAATAGCTGGGATCGCGCCGAATTCGCTTTCACCCCAAAGCAATTAGTAATTTTAGGACCGTTTACTATACGTTTAGCAGCTTGGGCATTTTCTCAACAAGCTAAATACCCTTGCAACATCAGTCACAAAAGTTCCCAAAATATGGACGATTTGTCAACACAATATCTCGCAGTACACAAACAGTGACGAGCCGCACAAACTACATCCATACATTTGTCGTGATTACTTACAGAAAATTCCGGCCTTAAGAAGTTTTTGTAAACAAGCTTTGTGCTTCGAAAAAGTGCAGGCTCCAACAGTTCCAAACTCTTCAACTCAGGAAATGAATATGCACAACAGCAAGCACGACAAGTAGACTGAATACCTACAAATTTTTTCAAAACTAAATTTAATGTAGCAAGCTAGTATGCAGACTTTGGTAGAAAGAGGTGTCTCTGGCGGGAGCATCGTTCTTTGGGTTGTACAGAAGGGCACTCCGAAGGCATCAGAAGAGACTGAACGGAGTAGTGTTCCTGTGTAATAGGTAATGGGGAGTGTGCAGGGTGGTATTCTGTTTTTTTCTGATGTCTTGGGGAAGTATTGCAGGGGTTGCAGTGCTCTCATGAAGCCTGCTGTGCGCAGACCTGCTTTTGTCGGCAGGGATTATACTTACCATTACTTGATGTCGTGTAGCATAAGACAGACGAGAAAGGAAGGTCCATGAGAACACGCTTTGCGGGCTTAGTATCAATTTTGAGTCAAAGCGCTGAAGCGTTCCGTAGGAGAGATCGCGCAAAGGGTCGGGGGTGTCGCACGTGTAATCTGCTCAGGCGCGGCCTTGAAGCTTGCATTACTAGTGGACAGACCGTGACGAAGCGTGCCGGATACCTGTCGGTGTGGTCCAACGGGCCTGCTCGTCGCTTGACGATGCACTGAATGCTGTCACAAGAAACCTGCTTGTCTATAGTGCACATGCTTCGTTTGACATTTGCAGGAAGTTTACCTTAAGCAGTTATGGAGAAGCGTTCTCGGAGAGAACATATGTTTGCAACTCAGAAGGGGCTGTGGGGGCAGTTTTGAAATCTCCTGGACACGCGGAACTTGATGCGCGTACGTGCTGAGCAACGCCATGAAAGGTATTACGAGGCGTCCCTTGATATACTTGGGACTCACGCGAATGCATGCTGGCGGCTGCCCAGTGTTATCGCTGAAGTATCACATCATGAGATGTTAAACACTAAACCGCTATGCATCTGCCGCTCCCCTGCACCTTCATCACGCTCTTGAACCATAGAGTTTGAGCGGGGCGAGTAAGTAGGACATCTCATTTATCTGTGAGGAAAATACCTGTCACCTGCCTGTGAGAAGTGGGCTAGGCCTCCCATGGAAAACAGACTGCTTCAGCGCCTCCCGCGCCTGGTGTCACCCCACAACTAAATCCTACCATCGAGCACGTGCATGAATGGTTTCGCAACATTCCAGGAGTATCGCTTTGTGAAGGTTTGAGCTATTCTACATAGTTCTCGTTGGGCAATCAGGAGCAGGACCCCGGGAGAGACCCTGCTTGCAGCTTTCAAACTACCAGTGAAGGAACAGCCCTACCGTCACGAAAACTACGAACTATTCAGTAAAAGAAAATACACTGAACTGAGAAAGCTGGGTGTTATTCCTTTTCCAGGTAGAGGACAAGTTTGTTTGCGAGGCCACACAGGTCGCGCCGTGCAATCGTGTCTCGTGTCGTTGCCAGCTGCTTGCCTCAGTTTCCAAGCTGAACCTGAGTGTAGACACCCTCAGACCTCCCTTTTCTTTGCTTAGTATTGCCTGTGTACTGCTACTGTGTGCCTAAGCTCCTTGTAGTGCGCGGCTCTACACTGGATCTTTGGGCTGACGTCCTCATATGCCTGGGGGCCGACAATCTGTAAGTCGCCACTGATAATGGAACTAGAGCTGTGCTGCTATTTTAATAGCACTGTAGTTTTCCATTGTGTTTACCCCGAATGCAAGGCGTGCACTGGTCCAGCATTTACAAACTGTAGTAACCCATTGGCAGAGGTCCCGATTGTTAGTTCCGGTAGTGCACGAGCACTGGCGACGCTCCCGTGTAGTCCCTTCCAATAGTTTTCGTTAAAATCTCGCAGCAAACAACGTTCTAATTATTTTTATTCAGGCTTGATGATAGTTTCGTATTGTGGAAGGGCTCCCGAAATTTTGCTTCAAGCCGCAACCCGTCGCAGCTGTATCACAGGTCTTGCCCCTAGTGAAAATTTGGCGCATGCTGCACGGCATCTATATTTATACTGCATGATTTGAATCGTAAATACTGCTGTTAGTAGATTAAGAACAATATTAGTTGTTGTGACTTGGATTGAGGGAAACTGGGCCTGCTGAATTTCAACGGCTGTGGAGCTTCATTTATGTGGTGGAACCTTCATTTGCGTGCATGGCATGCCGTAAAGCTCCATTATGCCCACGTTAATCTCAATGCATTTTCCCTATTCCTTCGGGCCTATCTTGTGGGTTCAGAGCTCAGCAGCGGAACTTAGAGCGCGTCATCAGTGGGCATGATTCCTACCTCTTCGTTACAGCCGCCGTCAGCAGTTGAACTGGTCATATAGGTAGCGTCAGCCGCTTTAAAGGCGCACAATATGTTCCTCTGTTTTCCTGCGGCTCGTGTTTAGGCAAGTGACATGACGAAAGTTGTTTCAGAATGTTAGTCCGCCCGCGTTTTCCGAGTTGTAGGTTAAGGATCCTTACCGGCAGATTTTCCCTAGATAGGTGCCTCTTAACGTATGGGGCAGCGGATGCGGACATATCAAGGTGTTCTCAAGTACGGCACGTTGAAAAATCACATGGAGCAGTTCCTGTAGCTAAGGACCTTGGACAGGCACGGTTGAAATACAAATCTCAGGAAGCTCCATGTATTCGATTGTGGCTTGCCGTGGGTGCCTTTTGCGCTACCGTCGCCAACAGCTACATGGAAAGCAACCGGCGGAACAAGGTCCAGTGTGAAAGGGAGAGAGAAAGGCAGTTAGGGAACAGTCCTCGCATGTGTGCTATTTCGAGCCACAAGAGCTTGCCCGGAACTGGCGTTGCCTTGTATTGTTGGCTCTCTTATGTCGCCTCTACTATTGCTGAACACCTATTTGCGCCCGCTGGAGGAAGTGTTGCAGCACAGTGCAAGGGTATTCCAGGACAATGTGTCGAGCAAGAAGAGCAGCGACCCCACGAGACACTTGCGCCAGAACAAGCATTTGAAATGATGAAGCCAGGCGTCGTACGGGTGTATGCAATACAACCTGAGCTAGCATCTGCCTGCAAGCAGGAACGATGCATGGCTTCACCTGACCGGGACCCACACGTGATTGAGCGCTTCCACTTCCTTGGCTCAGGTTTCTTCTTCGATGATCGTGGTAAGAGGCTTTTACGTGAACATGGGTATGCTTCTAAGAGTAATCTTCACTTGCAGTGCGTTTGACCTTTTCGTTTGCTTGCGTGACTGCGCTGACAATCTCAGGCCATGTTGTTACAGCAGCTCATGTAGTATTGGTAAGGAATCCCCTGCTGTGCAACGCAGCCAACGACTGTGATTCCCCTGTGTACTGGTTGCATTTCGTGGAAGTATTGGAATATTGAGCATATGTTTGCTTTTCTGTTTCTGTGGGCTGCTGCCCTTCGTTTACTCACGAAAACAGCGGCTCGGTGACTCAGAAGAAGAAAACGCATTGAATTCGGCGGCAGATTTTAAACAGGATCAAGGACTACAAGGGGATTTTGTGCCTTATAGACTTGCCATCAAGGACTCTGTCGGCCGGATACATCCAGCAAGCCTCTGCGGCCTAGATAAGGGTAATAAGCATCAGATTATGCCTTCGCAACATGCTTACGTGATGAAGCTGATGCCTACACGGGTTACATTTGACCCGATGTTTGTTTTCCGCAGTAACGGATGTTGCTGTGCTCCGAGTGGAGGGCATTCCCAACGATGATAGCTCCCAAACTTTCTGCAAAAGTAAGCTTTCCTCTGCCCAGACCTAGTCATTCACTTTTCCCAGCTTTCGTGAGACAAGCGTCACGCGTATTGTTTGAAGAGGATTAAGGATACTGGATTTGCACTGTTGCAGGTCAAGAGCGTTTCTAAACAGTTACGTTCGACCTTCTGTATCCCTTGATAGTGGCTGAAGCTTCTAAGTTGAACCAAGCAGTAGCGGCGCAGCGTCGCCCCGTATCAAGGACTGCCATAACTAGTATTAGCCTGCTTGCCTCTCCCACTTTCATATGAATTTTGTGGTGAACAGAGTTCGATGAAGCACGTCCATTGATGGGGGAGATTGTCGCAACTTACGCTGCAACGGAGGTACGATTCTCTCGTGCCTCACGTGCGCTGTCCACAAGAGACAATTTCGTGCAGTTGAATGCGTAGTTGCACGTGATCTGCGCAGAAAAAGCCAAAACACACTTGGCACGGCATGTGTACCTGCTCATTTAGCATGCAGACGAGTCAATAGGGGTGGCAGGCCGAGTGCTCCAGCCTCGTCAAACCTTCAAATCACTAGACAGCTCTGGATGTCTGGGCTTTTTACAACTGCAACTGCTGACTCTCCCCGGTAAGCCGCGACGTGAAGCCAGGCACAGTGGTGTGCGTCGCTATATTTTATCGGCAAGCACCTATTGTTTGTGTGTATTCTACCTCTTGGCAGGCATGTCTGGAGCCCCTGTATGTAACATGAGTGGTCACGTAGTAGGAATGCTTGTTAAGAAGTTTGACATGTGCGGGTGAGATAAATTGGTGCGCCAAATAGGGTTGCTGTTCCTTGATTCAGAGAGTTGAATGCTGCCTTGCAATGCTTTTGAATGTTTTGCAGCGGTGTGCTCATTAGTTTAACTGCTTCTACGTGAGTCCGTGACTCAGGCTCGCGCTGCCTTCTCCAGTAGTGCGCCGGGTGGCAGAAGCTCTACGAGATACGGGAAAGTTCACTTCGCCATCGATTGGTAAGATACGTACGCATAGGTATTCCAAGTGGAGTAACTGCGTGCTAGTGCTTTGCGTGCAGCTGCGACCTGGCTTGTGTCAGATGCGACGAACTGGCGTGCAGGCTTGCTCGTGAAGGAGGAAGTTCCCTGCTTGGCTTCATCACACCAAAAGCTACCACGAAGTAAGTTTTATGGTGGCTCTCACCAATTCTGCAACCGCGGATTCGCCTTTCGAGCAATGGAGTTCTCCTGATTGTGTGATGAAGGGCCATTGCAATCGGGAAGCACGCCGACCTCAAAGTAGAGACTGGTTTTGGGGCAAACATCTGTAGCCGTAGGGCTGGGGACCTGTAGTGCTCAGTGTTTACTTGAATTCATATTTGGTGAGGTCATGCAAGCATGCATACAATGCGCATGTGCATACACGCACGCACGTCAACGCTCGTTTCCAAACACTGCGATACTACATACTGGTTCACGAGTGTGATTGTGCTCCAGGATCAACGTTAACGGTTTGTGGAGTAACACCTGGGGAAGCTGCAGATGTTGCGGGTATCCAAGAAGGTGATCGTATAATTAGCGTGCAGGGAGAGAGAATTGATTCAGTCGTACAGGTGAGGGTCCGTATCCGTGTCATGTTCTACAGGTTGAATATCATTGGCACTGGAAGCATGTCATCTTGAAATACTTTGTTTCGCGGAAAAATGACAATCTTACGGAACACGGTTTGCGACTTCCGTTTTGTGGCCTCAGCTTCGAGAACTTGTCGTGCTCCATGGAGGCGGTTCTATGGATGTCACTGTGAAGCGCGGCACAGATGTATTGACTTTCCATATAAACGTGTCTCAATGAATGCCCTGTTCTTCCCCAAAGCTCGGCAGTGTATGAAATCCTCGGAAGTCAGATGGCGACGCAAGCCCGCTATCGATGCGGCTACCCGTTGTTGCATGTTGTTGAGGGGTGGCGAATGGGAGTCTCGTTTTTAACAAGTGGAAATCAAGTCATTATGCGTGCAGTACACTGCTTTTTCACAGTGCACAGCAGACTGTGACGATTTTTTATTTAAAGTGGGTCGTCTCCGAGAGAACGCCTCTCCAGGAGAGTGAGTGCGGTGCCGCTCATACATTCCTGGAGGAGAGGGACATTGATCAGTGGTGGAGCTGACATAGCTTAATGGCCTAATTTCAAAGATAAATTTTGAATGCTAGCCTTTGTTTTGCTTCGTGTTGGGTAGAGGCTGACTTGTTCCCCCTCCAGCGCGCCTAGTGCGTTGCTGGAGCGTCATTATGCGCACTCCTGCCGAGACGGCGGTTTTGCAGTGCAGTAACCCGCGATTGCTCTAGGTGAAGTCGTCCATCTGAACTCTTAAACAGCTTATATTAAACAATGTTTTTGAGTCTTCTGAGGCAGCAGACACCTCTTTAAATGTTGATTCCTCACCAGATTGTGCTGAGACTTGAGCGCCCCAATCTGCAAGGAGATGGCCAGCGCAAGTGAACAGGTAGTTGGATGTGGCGCATAGGAGATTCTCTATTGGCATCATTAATATATTTTTCGCTTTTTAGTGAATTGCACATGTAGAAATTCTGAAACGGAGGCGGGTACGGAAGGGCACGCGGTGGAGCACGTGGAGTTCCTTGTTGTGAGGACCCGTGGACGACGCAAGCCTGAATTTACGAATGAGACCCAAGATTCAGTAAAAGCTAACAGCCTGTAACTCTGTTCTTCCTTCAGTTATGCGAGCTCTGCGTAGCCTGAGGAGCTAACCGTCTTCGACACGTCACCTGGTGTTAGATTATGGGCAGACCTAGGTGGCTGACGGCCACGCAGTAGTGCCATGGATAGGTAGTTGATTTCGTGGATCATTCGATTTTTATTTCCTCTTTAAGGCGCGAGCACAACTTAGAAAGATCACTTTCTAGAACGCTGCCTGCCCTAGTACGTGATATGGCTTCCTATTCAATTGACTTTCAGCAGTACCCATGGCTTGACGCTGTAATCTTGAATGATGCTGCCGGTGAGACTTCTCCCGCTCTACACAAAAAGGATGCGTTGCAGCTTTCACTACCTTGTTGTACTGGGCAGCTACGGCAGGAGCGCTGGCTTCGGCTACGTGCTGCCAGTGTTTCTAGCCCCCATTGGCAAGATAGGCGGGTGTCGCTTGTACATTCGCAACATGAGGCACAAGAGGAGTCGAGCCCATGCAGTCCGAGAACATGCCCCTTTTGCAACACAGCATTACGGAAGCAGCGGATGGTTGAGTCTATGATGGCAGATGAAGTAGAGCGCAGATGCGCTGATGACATACTCAAGGCAGCAGCTGCATGCTCAAGAGAGAAAGTGACCCCCCTTTCATCGCTTGCATTCGTTCCTCCAGCAGCTTGTATGCCAGCCGACCTATGGAGGCCTGCATCGGAAGACCTACGGAGGAAGGAGCGACAGAAATCACAGGGCACAGAAATCGGTTATTCCTCCACAGCATATACAGAGCAGCCCACACACGACTGCATGAGATTACCTGGCGGCACGAAGTCACGGTCTATCAGCGTGTCGGCGGATAGTTCTTCGTCAAACCGCCGAGTAAACTATCGAGGTCACTTTTTTTGTGAACAGCAGGCAACAAACAGGCAAACGGCTCTCCAAGCCCCGATAGCACAACTTTATTTGCACAAATGCAGAAGGGCTGGGCCTTATGCTCAAGTAATGGCTCCCTTGGGGAGAGAGCTTTCCAGTCATCTCCAGAGCCAGCATCTACCCAGCATTCAGGAAGAAAGGGGAGCACTGAAGCAGCAACAGTGGCTGCTGAGCAATAATCATTTCGACCAACGATTCCAGCAGCGTATAGACCACTTAGAACGAAGCACAATTTATTCCTTCCCGAAAGTAATATATCAAAACAGTGTAGTTGGAAGTGCATGGGCCTCCAACGTCCAACCACTAGCGTGGAGTCTTTTTCATTGTAAGTGATTTTTGAGTATTTAAATAGTGACATTTGACTAAACCACAAGGAATCATTTATTCTACCACTACTTTTACATATTTCCAAAAAATTTGGAGGTTCAGGAAGACGGCATTACTTTCGGTCAAAGCTAGGGGTGATGCAGAGCTCAGCCACGATCAGTCTTTCGGAAACAAGCCTATAAAATCCTATCTTTTATCAGATCCCTTGTAACGCTAGCGGAGCCCTAACAGCCGTTAGATACATAGCAGGATGAAAAGAGAGAAAATATGGAACTCGTCTCAGGAAAGAGGAATTGACTTCTATTGATGCTGCCCCACTACGAAACGGCGGAAGGAAGGATAAACACCTTAAAGCTAGTACTGCTGAGTTCGGCCCGGTGCGAGTACCACTGCCTCAAAACAATTAATGAAGTAGTCAGAGTTTTCCTTTTCATCAAATTGCTGGCTTTTTAGTGTTGTCAAAATGTTGACCAATTGATTTAGCACGAGCAGTTCCTAGACTTGAATATGGCGATGTCGACGTAAGCACGACGGATGTGCAGAAGAGTTAAGTGCACCCTTAGGGCAAGCTCTCCTAGATATTCGTGTATGGCACTTACTTGGAAGCTTGCCAAATTGAAGAAAGCCAGCGTCGAGCGTGCTGCTGTGCGCAGCGTGACGTCCAGTGTCCCCTTTGCTTCACGGCAGCGAACAGTTTCCTGGTTCTGCGGCAGCTACAGCGCGAACTGATTCCGCACATCTGTATTTTGCAGCAGATAACCATCTCATCACTGCACCATCAGCATGCAACGCGGGGCGGATGCCCGACACCAGCCAGAAGCTGAGGGGGAGCCCGGCGATGTCCTTCTCCCGAGAATGCTTCAAAAATATACAGGCAAGCGCAAGTTTCTTAATTGTATTTTCCCCCTAAAGCAGGAATAAACCGGTCAGCTAGGGAGGTGTCGTAACTCGTTGCGCTGGCCAGAGGACCAGTCCTTCGACTACATGGCTGCTGCTTTGCTTGTTTCTGCTGCTTGACCTGCAGACAAATCGGTATCTTAGAGTATTTGGAGTACTTCAGTGCTTGTAGCTGAATCTAATTGGCCAGGTTCGCCTCTTGGGGAGCAGTACACGCCAATGCGGTGTATGGCGAGTGACAGCCATTGGCAACCAATTGAGACTGGCGTGCATTCAGTGACCCCTGGTAGGACTCATGTCTACTAGATCGTGACGCTGACAAGGTTTTCTTCTGAATGTTCACGAAGAAAACATGCGGTAAATATCAGAAGTTCGCTAATATGCAGTCTCAGCGCACACCCGTCGGCCCCACGCAGCTTCTCCCGTTTAGAGCGCTCAGCGGATCACCTCGTTGGCGGCTTTTCTTTGCAACGTAGCGTCCACTACGTCAAGAGAAGGCTATCTAAAAAAATTTTCGACTTCATAAAAATATTGTTGAAGGGCTACGCTGTGCTTTTGGTTTTTCTGTGGTGAAACTGGTTAGTCTGGAGCTTCAGTGACCCACTGGACTAGTTTGGCCTTCCAATGTTTTCTAAAGGCGTCATAAGCACTATCAAGTGCCGAAGCAACATCATCAACAGCAATAAAGCGGAAAAGCCACATGCATTTTACAACGAATGCTTGAATATAGTTCTGCTCAGATCGAGATGCAGAGGTCGCTCACGCGATCTCAACTTTTGCCAAGTGCTATTTGGTGCTGACGCGTACGGAGATTACTCGTATCGAAGGACCTTCAGAATGCCTATTTGATTTTCCGTAATCAATAGCATGTGTAAACTAGTACCCTTTGTTAATATCCTAAGGTTGGGGCTGGCGGTTACTCCGACACTGGGACAAGGCACTGACCCAACCGGGTCAAGAGAGGGAGAATTGTGATTCTCCGCTTTTTAAGAAAGTTCGATGGGCAGACTTGAGGGATGAATGTTCATTGACTATTTGATGCTGTTTCGTGAGCCATGTGTTGAAGGTAGGGAATTCGTTAGAAACGCACCTAGTTCATGCGCAAGGAAGCTACATCGCAGCAGCAGAGAGCGCTGTTCTCAACGCCTACGCTTTGCATACCTTGGAATCAGGCATGGAAAACAGCATCTAGTTTTGCTTCAGTTTTTTTCGGTAGGAACAGCTTTCATAAATTAAAGAGCTGCTTTCTCGTACAGCAATCAAGTTAGTGGGGAACTGTAGTGCACAGACACTACAATGGGGCTGGTTAGTGCTCTAGAGAGGATAGCTAGCCAGCGACCTACGAGGGGTCGCAAGACTG